CGCCTAATCAATAACATCATCAGGTATCTCCACGACTGGCGTACCATCGATCTCCTTGTAGTTGAAATCATGGCGTGCTAGAACTGGTTTAGATTGAACCACTTTAGTCCACGAAGTTTTCTGAAATTTCTCTTGCGAGCTTTGTGAAGTTGTCGACACTACACCCTGTTCTTTCTCCTCCTTCTCCTGATTCCCCATGGGGCGGCGGCTGCACCACCGGAACCCTAGCTAAGAGAGCCTCACGTACCCTAGAGATCGCCCAATCAATCGCCAAAAAATCGTCCTCGCCACGTATATTATTTTATCTTTTTCGTAGTTGTTTGTTTATCTTCTTACCACTATTCTACAAGCATCTCAACAGGTTAGAAGATTTTGTGTAACTATGAACTTTGGATGTAGGTTTTGGATTGATATTCCAACAGAATATCACATGAACAAGAAACCGAAGGGATGCTAGCAAGGAGAGAAAGCAATGACCCCGAGGGGAAGTACATGCAAGAGCTGGTAAACAAAGCCTCGAGTGGATGTAAACTTATAATATATATACACTTCATTGCAGCTCTTATTAATTTTCTCATTTTATTAATTTATGAAACGTTAATTCCGGTTTTATATACTCAAACAAACGCATACCGAAGGGCAAAAGTAGCGTCTGGGTGCGGTTGCGGGGAAAGCTATCAATCCCTAAACCCGAAAATAAACCAAAGGGAAAAACGCAGAGAACCTGAGAGATCTTGGATCATACCATCTTCCTCCCGTTGAAACCTCCAGGGAAGAAGAAGAAGATCAAACATCTGAGAAGATGTTGCCCACAACTTCCAGATCTCGCTCTTCATCTTCTTCATCCCGAGCTAACCCAATGTTCCTTCAGTATTTTCGTCGTATCGTCAAGGTTCTCTTTCTCCTCACATCTCAAGCTTTAATCGCCGTTATGATCTCAGATTTTCCTCGATTTTTTTGTTGTTAAATAGATAGATTCGTCATTTCTTAGATCGAATTCTGGGCAGATAATGAGAACTCGGATTTAGCTGAACCGATTTGCCTGGTAGAAAAGTTTAGCTCCGCACTGGGACTCCTGCCACTTTCTAGGTTTAGCAATTTCTGATGTTGGAATGTGATGATCTGATAATTAAACCAGAGATTTTTGGGATTCTGTAACATTTTCTTCTTATGAGTTATGAGTGATGTAGCTTCAGTGTTTTTAAGGTCATGTAGCTTGGGAATCTGTAAGCACTGATGCAATTATAATTGGTCAAAACTAAATTGTGTATGTTATACACTATGATGCATATTACATCATGTTCGAGCTTGACTTTTGGGCCATGAATATTATTTTCGTTTACGTAATCGGTCTATTTTTCATTGCAGTGGCAACAAATGGATGTTGAATATACTTTCTGGCAAATGCTTAACCTTTGTACATCTCCGAAAGTTGTGTAAGTCTTTCAAACCAATAGTCGAATGGTAAAGCTGTTACATTTGAACGGATGATAAGCGAAAACCCATTACTGTAAGGAGTCAAAATGGCACAACTAGAAAAGTGAGCTAGACTAATACTTAAGAGCTGATTAAGTTGTAATAACCATTCAAGGTGAATAGAGTTTGAGATGGTTTCACTTCACCTTTGCAATAAGACATTGAAGGGAGTTGTAAGTTTCTGTAAGGCTTAGATTTTTTTTCTTAGAGGTCCAAATCCAACAAGTTGAGAAATTTTAGTTAAGGTACTACGTGGTGAGTTAATTCTCGTACTTTTTGTATGTTTGCATGTGGGCGCTACGGCATCAGCTATCAGCACACTAAGTATCACAAACGTAAGCTTATCATTCATTTGAGAGCCCTTGTTATGCTACTGCAATCAGCTTTATATTTGCTTGTTATATGATTTACCCTTTTGTTGCTGAAAGTACCTTGAGCAATCCAATTTTACGATGAATGTGTGGTCAGGGATTTATTTAATCATTTTGAATGAATATCTAACGTGCGGAGAAGCATCTCATTGTGATTTTCTCATTGGCCATGTTTATATATTAGCTCCTCCTGGGCTATACTTAACATTTAACGCTAGTGCCTGTTAATAATAAGCTAAAAATTGGTTTGGCCTGTAAATTTAAGTGCATATGCTTTAATTTCTCTAATGCTTTGTTTCTCTCAGAAACGAAAAACCAATGGGCACGTGATGACCCTGCTTTTATTGTGATCTGTAGCCTGCTTCTTGTTGTTGCAACTTTAGCCTACTGTGCCACGTAAGTATTTTGTATACGTACATTTTTTAGAGTGTGAGAGTAAAAACTATTGCCTTGGAAAACGATTTTTTTTTTGTTGATTGTAATATGTTGTCCCTGTTTCAGGTATGACCATAGTAGCTCTCATGCTATCGTCGTAGTCGTATCAGTTTTCCTCTCCCATTTCTTAATCACCGGAGCAGTTATAGCTACATGCTGTTGGTAAGTAGTTTCTGTCAATGCATAGACATGGATATTTGTTGGACATGGATATTTGTTGGTGCAAACTCTTACACCGTTTAAATGTTATGTTTGCATCCATATGTATGTTCTATTGTCGCAGTTGCCACTTTTACTCCCATTCCTACAGGAGCTGACTGCATATCTGATCTTATTATTACTGTTCTATTCATTATATAGTGCAAGAAAAACACTCTTGAGATTTAGTACTGTTTGCGCTCTTAACGTTGCCAGTTTTGTGGAAATCGCTCTTGCATGAACCCAAATCCTTCTAAGTTGTTTTCTTCCTTGTAATCCCACTGCAGTTTGAGTAGCTTCTTATACCAAATCTATACTGTCTCTCTGACTTGTGAAATGGATTACCAGGTTTTTGACAAACTCTTACCTTCGCGAGGAGGCTCCAAACAGTCATGTGGTGGAACAACGTGTGGAATGGCAAGTTTATGAACTGAATATTATTTTTTAACCTCGTCTTTTTTGGTTGACTTTTTCTATAGAACCTGGAAAACGAAAAGCAATGTTTTCTCGTATTCGTTGTTCAGTATCCATATTCCATATCATTGTTTATCCTTTGTATAACCTATTTTTGTGAGCTTGTTTATGACTTTCCTTTTATGTATTTCTCTATAGGCTGTATACATTTGATGTTCACTGCAACTCGTTCTTTCCAATGTTTGTGCTGCTCTATGGTAATTCATCTTCAAACACATTACTCAATTCTCAAACCAGGATCTCTGCAAAAAGAGGTTTATGACACATAGTTTGTTCCTATGTTGCTGCAGTTGTACATTATTTCTTATCACCGCTCCTGATAACGCATGGATTCATCCCTTTGCTGCTATCGAATCTGCTTTTCATGGTTGGGGCATCATACTACCATTATCTTAACTTCCTAGGATATGACGGTAAGTCTCGTATATTCTATTGTTTCTTTTCATAACTAACCTGCTTTATAACTGTTGACCTAACAGCTTTGTCTGCTGTGAATCTATACAGTGCTTCCATTTTTGGAACGAACAACATTCTTCCTCTACCCAATCGGGATTGTGATTGTCCTATCCCCTATTCGTAAGCTGAATCATTCATTGGTCTTGCAGATTCCTCTTCCTGAAAAGCTTAAACATCAGCTTAAATTTTTGTTCTTCATTTTGCAGTGATCTTAAGCGGATTCAACCCATCAAGATACTTCATGAACATGTACTTCAGCCAAAGGTTATAGAAACAAAGCCACATCAGTGGAATCACATGGGCTCTGCACTGCACATACATCATCAAGTAAGGAACAAGAAGAGAATATGATTTTCTTTTTCTTTATTTTTTTACCTGTAACAGGTCATCGCAATGCTCTAGATTCTGGTACGACTTCAAAGGCTACTTAATAGAACCAGTAACATTTTTCTAAACTTGAAACCCATTTAGCATGCTCTCTGTTAAATGTTAGTGTTTTTTGGCATATACCTTTTGTCCCTTAATTTTTTTTCCAATTCATGGTAATTTATGTTACGTGTTGAGATGGATCGTTGGTTTCGTTGAGTCTTAGGCACAAACTCGAAATCTCTCATGGAATCTGGAAAATTGTACCAAGAAAAGGACCATTATTGGCTTCTCTAACCCAATTATGAGTCTCAAAATTCGTGGTTACACCATTAATCAACTCAACAAGCTGCTTAGAGTCCTCTGCAAATTCCACGTTAGTGAAAACCCTTAAAACCTTTAGACCATAGGCATTGCATAGCAGTAGTGCTTGTCTGTAATTGAGCCTCAAAGTGGAGTAGATAGTGTACACCTTTGTGCTTGTCCTGGTACTAGATACCTTGCTGCATCATCTCAAAAAACCCATCCGGCTTTGGCTGGTTGCTCTGTCGTGACATAACTCTCGTCGTCACATATACGACGTGCATGGCACTGCAACTGCTCTATTTACTTCCTGGTGGTAGAAACTGATTGGACCAATTTCGAGTTTTGTTTCGCACCTTCTTGACTATATCTTCATTGTTTCCATCAAGTAACATCTTTCTCATTGTTTACTTTATAAATTTTCATTCCCTTCTATCATATATGCCTTTGTCTCACGAGGTTGAAATCCTTGAAAATGGCTTGAATTTTGCAAAATGTTTGAAAAGAAAACAAGTTTCAAGAGTAAAGGGAAGTCTAATGGAATTTGATTCCATTTAAGTCTTAACATTAGTCACTGCCTCGTTTCAAGAATAGAAGGAAGTCTAATGTTAGAGTTTGAAGAGATTAGAAAAGAAGAAGAAATTTCAATAATAGAGGTTAAATGGAATTTTTGATGTATATACAAGAGTAGTAGATACGAGCATGCTCTATTTGTATATACAAAACTTGTTTTCAAAAAGAATAGTATATGAATTTGGTAACCAAACTCTGGTTTAATCTCCATCTCTGTCTGTCACCTATTTTCATTTACGAGTCACATTATTAACCAATTAGTAATTAGTAATTCAGTGACATATTTTGTTCTTTTATATTAATTGCATAGAGAGAAGATCTTATAGACTCATGAATTTCAGCCAGGAGGATCATATTGATTTTCTTTTTCTATATCGATGTAAATTCACTAATCTTGAATACTTGTAATAGAAGCGTTCAGCTGCAAACGCACAATCAAATATTGCAAAAACAAACACATGTTTTCACCAACTTTTGGGCTTTTCTTGAATCACAAATTTAGCCCAGCAAAGTGTTCTTTGTCTTCAAAACGTCGTCGTTTTTGTCGTGTGACTCATCAGTCTCACTTACTATTGTTCTTTTCCAAGCGACGGCGACTTTGGTTCCGATTCCGGCGTTGTTGTCTCTCTCTGTCTCCGGTAAGGATCTAGTCTCTCTCATTTTATTCCGGCGTTCTTGCTTTGGTTGTTGCCGATTCTGCTTTGAATTGATTCTGCTTCTGAGTTTCCCTTGTAAGTAGCCACCGTTTAGTTGTTTTTTAGGGTTTCTGTTTTGTTTCTCAGTTGGATTTGCTTAGCTTTCTTTGCTTTGTTACGAATTTTGCCTTTTTCAGTGAAGAATGATTAACTTTTAGTTACGTTTTAGGGTTTAGCCTTCTCTTGGGTTAATCATGTCGAATCCATCTTTAGGATGCTCATTCTTTGTTAGAGAATCTATCACATTCGTTTTATTTAGCCAAAAAAACTGCTCGATCTTCATTTGTCAGTGATAGAAATGGTCCAACTTCATGTTTCTACTTGCTAGTTAGGTCTTGTTCTGCTACTCTTGTTTTCTCTCTGATATTTCTATTTCTTTCATCTAATTTTGAAGCAATCTATCTTTTTTTTTCCTTTCTTTCGTTAACGCCTCTGAGGAAAATGACTTCCATAACTTTGATTCGTTTCGTAATGTTCTCTCCATTTTCTGTTCACATTCATAATGTGTTATTGAGCCTTGCAAATTTCATATGCATTCCCCTATGATCCCAATTGCAGATGGCACTCCCCTATGATCCCAATTTCCGAATGGCAATCGGACCCGGACTCACACCAATTGAGAAAGACCAAGAGCACGGTAACTTTTCACTCTTGATAGTACTTTTTTTTTTTTTTCATTTGGTTTTAACTGATAGGACCAAAAGTACCTACTCTGGTTTTAAAAATCTAATCCCTCGTAACAGGAAAATGAATTAACTTTTCATGGGAATACATTCACATTTGATTCATTTCCATTTGTGTTTTTGTCTTGCAGATTCATCTGCATCGGCGGCTGTCGTAGCAGTTGATCTGATAAGCTCTGCACGGCTTGCACTTAAGCTCAACAGTGTGTATACTGAGTACTCAGCTCAGTATTTGGTGGATAATGCTCGTACCAACGAGCGAGGAATGGATCTCACACTCACTGTCAAAGACTACCTTGAGTTTGCGTTAAACAAAGGCATACCGAAAGCAGAAGATTGGCCAGAATTGGGATCTGAGTTCACGCCCTCATCATCGTACAAACCTGCTCTTGTCTCCATGAAAGGAGAAGTGATTGAGGCTAAGAATATGGAGGAAGCATGTGACTTGTTGCTGGATCAACCGGTAGGAGCAAAACTGCATGTGTTCAGCCCACAAATTGATCTTGTTGGTGATGTAAGTGCTGTTAGTTAAGTTCAATAGAAACTAGAGATATATGACATATTTGATCTGATAATTTTTTCATTTGTTTTGTGTGATAGGGAGTTTACTGTGGCGCCTCAGGTGAGAATGCCAGCTATGTTGGACTTAGAGACGGGATAATAGTTGGAGGCGACAAGATCCAAGGAAAGTCCATTGCAACAGTGAAGCTATGGTACAAGAAGCAGTTTAGGTTTGTCAAAGTGGCTTTGAGCAGGATGTTTCTCATTGCGGCAATTGGTAAAAACGCCGTAGAGCCAACAGGTCTGCTTGTTGACTTTTGTGTCCCACGCTTATCCGTCAATTAAGGAGGTTTGATCTTGATAAGTTTTGGGAGAACGATAAGCTTGTTTGGAACTTGTTTGTTGTACTAAGTTAAGTATGTTTCACGAGACTTTTTATTTGTATGTTAAGAAGTTGTTGATCTCTCTACGTTCTAAAGATTAAATTTGGGATTGAATTGTTATGTGTACGGTGTACCACCTCTCAATCTTAGTGACGTTTAATTGTGTGTGTAAGTTTTGTTAAAGTCAGTCCTCTGATGAAGTAGGGAGTAACCATGATTTGGCATATGGGATAGAGATGATAGAACATGTTAATACGAATGCAAAGAGAAGGATAAGAGTAGAAACCATACGCTCAAGAGAGGCACGTAAATCGTATTTTAAAGATGAGGGTAAGCCAATTTTTAAAATTTTTGTCATACCCTAACAATATAAGATCCTCAAACTCCAGGTCCAGGATAAAACTTCTCACTTCATCAGAAAAGAGATAAGGGATGGGAAGAATACGTATTTTTGGTTTGATGATTGGTGTAATGTTGAAACCAAGGTCGGACCGGATTTAACCGTGAATCAGATTGATAGTGAGGTTGGATTGATAAATAAAAACTAAAAAGTAATTGATTGGTTAAAAACCAAATTAAACTGATTTTTTGTCAACCAATAAAACTAGTTGACCCAGATTTAATTATTAAAGGGTTAATTTGTCAAATAACCATTTTTAAAAAATAATTAGATAAGTAACCAAAATGGCCTATGTGGCCAAATAATAACCATGGGATTTACGGTATTTGGTTAAGATTTTAATTATAGTTTTTTTTATGGTTATTTTCTGCTAATTTCCCATTATTAAATGCCAAATTTTCAATGACTTTTCATTATTATAATTTTTTTTTTATGACTTAACCTTATAAACACCAATACCTTTGAATTTCATTACTTTTTAATTGGTTTAAGGTTTCTAAAAAAATTGACTTATAAACTTTACTATAAACTTTTATAACTTTCTCTTTCACTCAAAGCTGTTGAGGTTAAATTCAAAAATCCTGGTTTCTAGATTTCAAATTCGTTGTAGTTTAATTTTATTTCACGACACTCTTTGTTTGTTTCTTCTACCTTTAATTTATTATTTGATCGATTGCTTAAACAAAATTTTAAGTGGTTTTTAATTGTTACACTTCAATTCTTTTTGAAAACTAATATATGTATTGAAGTTTTTTTTTTATTCATGATCGATTTTTTTAAAAATATTGAAGGTAATATTATATATTTGGACATAATAAATAGGAAAAATACCCATACTACTATCTATAGAAAAATTCATTAAACCGGGTCAAACCCAATCGGATCACATTGAATTAAAACTTCCTCGGTTCGGTTGCTGCTCTAGTTTTGAAAACATTGCATCGAACCATCCCAAATTATATAAAAAGAAGTATTACACTTACTCCATCAGTACAAAACCAATTTGAAGCCGAACACAGAGCCTCCATTTTGTTTGAGTGGATAATTTTTTGTCTTTTAATTGATCATGATTTGAGGATTTTAATTCAACATCTCCACATCCTTCTTTGACTGCGAGGTCTACTTCTTTTTGCAACCATAACATGCGCAAGCTGGTTTTTGTTCACGAACTTCACACTTACCAGTGCGATAAACACCAGCAAGCATGCAATCTTGTGTGCATAGTTGTGTCATCCCGACAGAACAAGGACCAGGCATCACATATGCGGTTTTGCCTTCTTCACATGTCGACTTATGACGCTTTCCATTTGATATTCCTACTGCATAATTGAAATATGTAAAACACAGTAAAATCTTTTTCATTAGAAATACA